GTGTAACTCTGCGAGCCGGACTCCCCATCAGGTAAGAACCTGACAATAACTAGTAGTCGTCAGTAAAGTCGGAAATTTGGGTAGCTCGGATGTTGACCATAAAAACCAGGATACCCTTCCCCTTTTCAGATAAGCATCTTCTATATCAACCCACACCGATTCCGGTTTTAAACAATACATCAAGGTTTGTGATATAGAGGAAGCGGTGCAATAATAGATTAGATTTGGAACCCCCATACCTCCTTTTTGTCTAGATCTATATAATGTAGTTAAAGTAACTCAGTTTTTTTATGAGCATGTATGAATTTAATTATATATGACTGAATATCTTTTAACAAAGAGGTGGGGCAGGGAAGGGGGGGTTCTAAATAGATACAGGAACCTTGGAAGTACCATAATTTTAAATGAGGGGTTGCGACCAAATCAAGATAGTTTAATTTTTTCCCATCTTTCCATGTCCCCTCTAACCTGCTCCCATACATGTTTCAAATTTAAAGTTGTTAACAAGGCCAGGTCTGTATACAATCGTATCCCCAGGTATTGAATATATGTCAACTTCCAATCGAACTTACATGTCATTTTGAGTTGACATAATTGTGATTCTGATATATTTATAGGTAGAGCATGTGATTTTTTTCGAGTTCACTTTATGATAGGAGACCTTTCCATAAGAAATAAGTACTTCCTTAAGATAGAGTCAAGACTGAGTAGGATTAGTTAAGGCTATGAAATTGTTGTCCGCAAAAAGAACTACCTTTTGCGAGATGAGATTAGGCATTGAAATTCTATTAATAGCTATATCTGTTCTAATCCTATATGCCAAAGGTTCTAAAGTCAGAATATACAACAGGGGAGACAGAGGGCACCCCTGTCTAGTGCCATTACTGATTGTAAATGATTGTGACACTGAACCAGAGAGAAGTACGACTGCCGTAGAGTTAGAATATAAATCCATAACAGCTTTTATGAATCTATATGACAGACCCAATTTCTCCAGAAATTGGAACAGAAAGTCCCAATAAAGACGATTGAATGCCTTCTCTGCATCAAGTGACAGGAAGAGGCATTCAGCCCTAGAGTTTCCAGCCACCAAAATCATATTTAGGATTTTACGAGTGGCATCTGAAGCTTGACGCCTCCCTATAAATCCCATCTGATCATTTTTTATCAATATTGGATGTAAAGGAGATAAACGAGTTGCCAGAATTTTAGCATAAGTTTTATAGTTAAAGTTTAAAAGAGATATAGGTCGTGGTTAGAACATTAAATTGGAGGCTTCCCAGGCTTTGGTAGAGCTACAATATGGACGGTCAACATTTCTTTTAGCATTGTACCATTAGACATACAAGAGTTAAAACGAGGTTGGAGATGTGGCTGTATCATATTAAAATGCTATTTATAATAAAAAGAAGTTAATCCATCAGGCCCCGGTGACCTACCTTGTGGCATTGCTTTAATTTCCTTGAACATTTCTTCTGAATTTATCGGATCCTGTAATGCCTGGGCCTGGAGTTCAGTAAGAAAGGGTAACTGCATTATGTTTCGGGGCAATTTTTTAGATTGTAGAGAGAAGCATAAAAATTAAAGCATATATTTGCCATTTTTTGAGAATCGAATAAACTTTGGCCCTTATCATTAAATATATATGGGATTGAGGTTGTATCCTGGATTTTCCCCAACCTGCATGCTAACAGACGGCCTGCTTTATTTCCGCTACAGCAAAACTTTAATTCGTCTCAAGCAATATTCTGTCTTTTCAAGTTGCAAAGTAATAATAATTGACCCTACTGTTTTTCATTGAAGCAGCAGTGTGTCAGATGGAGAGGCCTTTTGAGCTTTCTCAATTTCTATAAATTGTATAGATCTGTGTCATCCTTAAAAAAAATAAAAAATGAAAAGATCACATTCTGTTATAAAAAAATCTAACTATTTACCTACAAAAATTCCTGTATACTTTAATAGTAACTTCTGTAAATAATCATTTGAAAAGTAATCATTTCTGATGCTGATGCAAACAAATAAAACTATTCTACTTTAATATTGGGCTAGTTGACCAAATTTCAAGATGTCTTTATCTGTTTATTTTGTTAATAACTGTATAATATATACATTTTTGTCTTTATCACAGTGATAAATAATGTTTGCATTTATACATTCATATATTTTTGATTTTCCCTCACAGATGAAGATTCCTAGAGTACACTGTGTATTGAATACCATTCAAGTGTATTCAACATGGACATTATTACAATAAAGAGGGCAAATAAAAGTATTGATTGACTTCCTTGCTTTATCATTGTCTAATTTCCTTAACTGCATATCTAATTAATGAATGCATGATCAGTGAAGGATTACCTGAAGCTGCATGAAACTTTCACAGATGTACTTTTGTACACATGTGCAATGAAATACAGGGATATACAGTGCTGAGGAAGATCAGCTTTTGTTTAAGTTATATCCTCTAGGTGCCATGATGCTGGAGTCAATTTGCCTGGTGTAGCAGGGATATTTTAAATACACAAAACACTTTTTCAAGTGTTTATGCCAAACAAAGGCCATTTTGAAGTGGTGTCAACACTTAAAAACATCCCTTGTTTGGTGGAGCGCGTTGTGTTCCTTTTAATATTGTTTTAGCATTAAAGTATATTTGACTTTCACCCATTTTTGTTTGTCAAACCATTTATTACACCTTTTAGTTTTATATTATTTATAGCCATTTATTGTTCCTGGCACATCCATACTCCTGAGGATTCTACTCTACTCTACACCTAATCCCTGGCAAGGATTATATTCTGGAGAATTTATTCTACATTATATTCTTGGTGTGTATCATACCACTCAAGGACTATCATTTGAGCAATATTACTATTCTTCCAAATGAAAATGAAAAAGAACTCTCTGAGGTCTTGGACCTATTATATGAAGTATCTGGTGCAATCTGCTTTTTCTTGTGTTTTGTAAGAGGGATATTTGCAAAAAAAATTATTTGCAGGAAAAAAACCTTACAAGGAATAGGTCTGCATTATTTCTATAAAAAATGCTATCCCCTCTAGAAATATACTTTTTGAGGTTGTATAAAAAATTTGACCCTGCAGATGTCATTATTTTTTTATAAGTAAAAAGGTATGTTAAATTTACATAATAAAAATGACTAACATCTCAGGTTAGCAATGCACAATATTATGCCAAGTACATTATTTAATCATTTAAATAGTAAAAAAATAGTTGACTAATTAAAATTACATATTATTCAACTAAAAATATTGTTTTTCTGTATGCACTCTAGATCACTTGTATTTGTACATGTTGATTGCAACCATACAAAATAACTGTCTTTTATCATTTTAAAATCACTTGCATTTTTGTTCCAAGTATTTAGTAGTTCTGGAAAGTCAGTGAAGAGGTTTTTTGTTTTTTTTCAGGCAATATTCATGGATACCTAATATTTACTTGCGTTATGTACTGTTTTTGCAGATGTTTACCAAAAAGTGAGGGTTTGGGTTTTTTTGTGGTCAGTATGCAGGTTGGCCAAAAAAAAAAACCTACGTATTTGAAAATAAAAATTGTGTTCAGAATTCAGAAAAATGCTCCATGATATTTACTTTCAGCAAGTTCTCTAGACAGTGGCCCAAATTCAACATTGTAATGTGCAGATGGCCAGATTCATAAACGTGTCAGAAATGCAAGATATTTCTTCAAATTAAAGTGATATTTCAGCTTAACCAAAAGCTTTTCCAAACTCATACAGGCTCCTTTTTGAGTTGAAATGTTGCTTTTATTTTGTGGCAATAATTTCCCTTGTTGGTTATGTGCATTCCATATTTTACACTCAGGGTTTTCAGGATAACTTTAAAGACTCCATTTTCAGGGCATAATGACGGAAGTCCAACATGGTAAAACAATGTTTAGGGTCCATGAGACCTCAGCAAATAATAGAAATACAACTCTTTGACACACTTTTAAAAGCAAGTGTGGAGTCCCACCATAAAAACTGAGGTATTGCATAGTAGGAGACCTGGTAAGTGACGTGGTAGAAAAAGATTTAAGTAGATTAAGGGGTGCCCCAAGTCCAAATAACCAGAAGTATTCCTAGTATACTGGTTCTAGTAGCTCTAGGTGAAGGAGTTATCCAATTTCCCTGAAAAGAATAATACAAGCCCTGTAATGCAAACTTTTATATTGAACAACGGGGTGCCCTGGTTTTAGTCTCCTGGTCTAACAATGTTACCTTCCACTCCCAGGCTGGGCTACCTAAACCACCAGTAACTAACTCACTTCAACTCCAAGAGTCAAACTTTCTAGGAAATGAGCTGTGATTAATTTATATGTCAGTTACTTTATAAGCTAGCCATTCAGAGTTCACTAGAGGTTCTTCATCCTAGAATATCTAGCCATGCTGCTTTAAGAACTCTTTATTCTTGAGTTGAAGGAATGAGAAGAAGGAAGAGGGTTTTTTTTAGATTATGTTAGGTTATGTTTTTATAATAATTAGTATTTACAAATTAGTAAAGGGGGGATTTAGTTGGAGTCTACATTATTCTAGATAAATTCTTACAGGATTATTTTAAACAAGCTCGCACCCAAAAAATGTTTAGTCATCTAGTAATTATGGAATGGCACTACAGTTTCTATTTTCTATCTTATGTAGCTATTGTGTGTTTGTTTTTTTTATGGCATAATACAAAATTATGCTTGTGAATACCATTTTGACATAAATTTGCTGCAATGCCTAAAAAAACGCATTGGGCTATAGTAAATTTATATCTGTATAGTTTATTTTGGCTAATGTATAGTATTATTTCTGACCCATTTTAAACGTATATGTACAAGTACTAAAATGTGTTTTTGTTTTACTGTACAGTAAATTATTTGCTTATTTTTCTGCCCATGTCCCCCTAACCTATATAACAATATTTTTTCTAAAATAATTATATTATATAAAAATCTTGTAAATGGGTCTGCCACGTGGATGATTCTGTCCTTTATCTGTTGTCTAAAATAAAAATACATCTTTTTCAGGTGAATTTAATTGATAAGTTTATAAGAAAACTAACATTTACGCTGTTTGCACAGATTTCTTTACTCATTTTGTGATCAATACAAAATACAAATACGTCAAACTTTGTCTAAAGTGATGGTTAAAGATATAATAGTTTTAAACACTACATGTTTGAAATTCAGCAATATAGAATAATCTCAAATACTTGGCTAAAAATATTTATAACAAACATAAATGCATTCAGTTACTGTTGTTTAAAATATGGTCAATTGAAAAAAAATAAACTTAACACTAGTATTTTAACTGGTTGATTGAAAAGATAGGTGAGAAGACGCTTATGTACAGGCACAAACTGAGAGATACCTAAACATTAGATGTCAAGCTTAGTTGTTTTTGGTGTTCTTACACAAATGTGCTAACTATTAATAGAAACACATACTTTTCTTTACAGGGATGTTCACATTGACCACATTTCCTCCCTGATAAATGTTATATGTTGACTATGATTTTGTTCCAAATTTAAAGTGGCTTTGTCTACCTAGAAAAAATGTAAACATTTATTAAAGATAAAATCTTTCTGAAATGTCCATAACAACTGTGTTGGAAATTCATTGGAAATCCAATGCAGTGAAAGGTATCACAAAACAAAGTAGGGACAAATTTATCTTGTGGTAAATACTCAAGTTGACTAAACTTGACAAAAGACAGAGCTACCGTTGTCAGGTTCTGTCACTTCCCACAACCAATGCTTGTGGTTATGAGAATAAGGCACTACCTCACTCATCATGAAATTATATTTATCTTCCATAGACATCAGTGTTGCAGTTGCTCGCATGTGCCAGGGTAAAGCACTGATGACTCCTGATATATTAAGCACCAGGATTTGAAAATCGAAGATGACAGGGCCCATGAGAGGCAGCATCAGATAAGTATAACCCATCTCCTCTGCACCCCTAAGCCACTGACTCTCAAGTACTGATGTCAATATTGGGAGTCTTTGCAAGACATGCAAAGACTCCAGATGGTGACAAGCAGCATTAAGATCTACATTTTTGCATTTTTGCATTCTTAATAAATTGCTCAATAGAGAAACACTCGCATGCACAGTGCTATCACGGTCAGCTATAGAGAATCATTAAGTAATATGATTCTCTATGGAGAAATTTCAAGCACATCAAGGAGAATCAATGGATTGGCATTAAGGAGTTGGCAGAGATTCGGCGCTAGAGAAAAGGTGAGCTATTTTTGAAAATTATGATTTATTTATTTTTAGACAGCTAGTGAGGACGTAAATAACAAGGTACATCAGGGCTGTAGCGTTAGGAAATGTAGATGTATTCCTAATGCTACAGTGTTCCTTCAGCTTTTCAAATTATTTAACATTTTGGACAATTTTTAAAAATGATTTAATATTTTGAAAAATATTTTAATTTAGTAAAATTTTGATATTTTTAATATATTGATATTTTTATATATGATATAGATTTAGATATGATTCAATATGATATATATACTTATATTTATATACTTATATTTTAATACTTTTAAAAATCATATTAAAAGCTAATTCAAAAAAAGTAAATAATTTGAAAAACCTATCCAATAATAACAAATCAAAGCCTAAGTTGGCATTACTTATTTTATTTTTATTCTTAATATTAAGTGTTTAAAGAGAGATTTTCAGTGCCACAAAGTCTGAAGTGGACACCATCAAATGATAGACATTTTTGACATTTTTGGATAATTAAGCTTGCTAATTGGTACATTGGTATTTATTGTAGGTATTGGGAATGTAAAGTATGGAACAATTACCTAAATTATAAACTTGTTTTTATGAAACAAATATTTAAAAAAATTAAAACATTTACATACATGTAATGAAGTATATTGATAATATAATAAAGTGGAAATTTGCAAAAATTATGGAAGACTAACCAATTAAAATCAGTATCTAAATATGTCTTTTTTGTTTTTTTATTTATTTTTTTTCTTATTGCAAAAACCTACTGGAAAAATATAAATCTTTGAGCAATACTTAAAAACTCACTTGGCACTAAAACAGTTAAAATGTCACTAGTATATGGTATAATATACATGTACTTAATACATTTTATTTCATTGATAATACCAGTAATATAACATGATGAGGCACTGTGTAGGGATAACATTCAGTCTAAAACTCATTTAACAAATCAAAAGCATCTTATTAATAAATTAAAGTGTACCAAAATAATAACTATACATATATTTATTGGAAGGAGCCATTGACCTTGCATCTGCTGTGGAAAAAAGTTCTTATGAAGCTAAGTCAGTCTATCGTGATATCCTTCATTCTTATCTTTTTTATGAATGCTGCAGTGGTGCAGAGCTCATTATATTTAAATAATTTGTGGCAGATAAACTGCTAAACATATGCAGAAAAGTCTGAAAAATGGGAAAAAGAATAACCTATTAACTGTATTGATCTATATTCTTTTAAAAAAGTACAATGAACCTTTAAAACCATTGAAGCCATTTTAATTGAACACTTACATAGTACTCTAGTGTTTTAGTGTATAATTGTAAGTAATTATTGTAAGTGACCAGAAGGATTTTAAAAATGCACACTTTAATTTATACCTTAAAAAATATACTTTATATTGTGATCTGCCAATATTAAAGATGCACTATAGACATCAAAACAACTTTTTAATGAAGGAGTTTTGGTGTATGAATCATGCCTCTGCAATCCCATTGATCAACTCTATGCCATTTAGGAGTTAAATCACTTTTGTTTATGTTTATGCAGCCCTAACAGCACCACCCACCCATGTGACTCACACAAGCTGTGTGAAAAAAAAATGGTTTCATTTACAATCACTTGCTTTAGAAGTTTTAAATCTCCTGTTCTATACATTGGACTTCAATCACACACAGTAGGCTCCCTCAGGATCTAGAGGGCTTTTAACAGAGCAGGAGAGCAGAGGAAATTCTAAATTAAACCGAATACACAATAAATTAAGTATAAACATTAGATCTCTTTTTACAGGAAGTTTTTAGGAAGGCTGAGTAAGTCACATGCAGGGAGGTGTGACTATGGCTGCATAAACAGAGTGATTTAGCTCCTAAATGGCAGAGAATTGAGCAGTGAGACTATATGTGGGGCATGATCTATAGACCAAAACCATTCCATTAACCTGTTAAGGACTGCATGACAGTCTTTAAGGGTACAGAAATAGAAATTATGAAATTGTGGAAGAATTAATGCATGACAAATGTGACAAAAAGTCCTTGGTCATAAGCAGGTTGCATCTAAAATGATCCTTGGTCTTTAACGGATTAAGCTTAATGGGTTAATTTGTTTGGTGCCTATAGTGTCCCTTTAAATTACTTCCTATTATAAACATGACTATATTTTTTCTCAATATTTTCTTTAAAAAAACAAAACATATATATATATATATATATATATATATGTGTGTGTGTTTTGTATGATGTATATACTATGATGTTACATGATGCCCTATGTAGTTTCCAAATGAATCTATGTTATCTGTTGTGTTTAGAATTATAATGCAAAGGCTAAAAACATAGAGAAATAAAATGAAAATAACTTTAGCTATAAATTTGTAAGGGATTTGGCTAATTTTGTTCTATGTGCTGTAAATTACATCAATAACTGTAAGATGTTACAGTTTACAAGATTTGTCAGAACCTAGGAAAGAAAATATATTTTCATTATAAAAAACAATAACATTTCAGATAATTGTTTAAAGCATAAATAACAATAAGTTCACAGAATGTCACATAATATTACAACACAATATATATTGCTTTAATAGAAAATAAAATAAATTTGGCATATTTTTTAATGAATTTTAGGGCTGTGATTTAGAAACAACCATTTAAACCTAGGAAATTATACACCTAGTTATTGAAATAAATTAGATTATACTTCTCAACTATAAGGAAGTTACATCAATTTTAAGAGTTGGTCAACACAATAATATTGATAATTATTCTACAACTGTAGATCTATATTTCCGGTTTAATGGAAGATTCCATTCCAGTCAATAAACATTTTATATATTTATTTCTTCCAGGAATGCTGAATATTATAAGCTGAAAGAGGTTCTTCTATTAATGTCTTGGGGAAACACAAGCTAGTGAAGCACTGGTAAAATATAAAGACAGAATAGCAACTTTTTTGTTTGTTTTTCACATATTGGAAGTTGATTTTAAAAAGCATTTTTTATTACTATTTACAGTTCAAAACCAATGTTATAAAGATAAATTTATTTATTTTTTGTGCCTGTTCAGAACAGAAAATCCAATCAATCAACTGTCTCATATGATGCCTGAATTGTAGGTTTTAACAAACTTTTGGTACTGTATTGAAACATTACACAGGGAGTAGATGTAATTAACACATTTGGTCTAGGCCTAAAAAAGGGCGAACATTAAAATGAAAGATTCAAACTGAAAAATAAAAAATAAAAAACATCCAGTTCATGGCTGATGCCAGCAAATTAATATAAAGAGGACACTTAAAAGTATTGTATTAATTTGCTTGTATCATTCTTGTACAGAGTGGGTGTTCTATTGGTTTGGAGCATGCCTACAGTAAGATCAGGCATGCTATTTTTATTTAGAAGCTGAAATTTTGAAATTGTCCTAACTTCACATTGGCTCATAAAATACTAATATCTGATTCTGTTCTATTTGTACAACTCAGGAACCAGATTATGTTATGAAAGTCAATTATCCATGGACATCTAAAATATGTGCCTTATGCCATTCATATTTCACCAATTCAACACAAATCTTCGAACCAATGATGTACTCACAAACACCAACCAATATTTATAACCATGGTATCGACATGACTTATAGTACCCAACATTCACCTATAGCATGCTCTACTACTCACATGAAACCCACATTGAATAGGACACCCATAGTTATCGCTTCACCTTCAATACACATAAGGCAACCACATAGCACCCATATCAAACACGACACACACAGACTTCTGCAAAATGCAGACCACACGCAAAAATTATGGTTTGCTTTCAAATACAAAACATAGAATCGTCTTTGCTCCATAGCACAGACTGCAAGAAAAAAGGATGGGTTTTCTGTATGAAGCATTGGTTCCGTCATTGTTTAGATATTAATAACTGGGACATTTTGATGGGATGAGTTTAAAAAAAAAAAAAATTAGCTATCAGTGACATAGTGAGTATGAGCATATCTGTGTAAGCTGACAGAAAACAAATCTTCCAATTACATGAAATACATGAAATCTCACCAGTCACGGAGAACAATCCAATTGAAAGTGCTACTCAGTAATGTTTTATACAAAGATTTTTTTCCATTCAACTTCAGATCCTACCATGTGAAAGCTGGGGACAATTATCACATTAAAAGGCCAGTGTGTTTGAGGCTAAAGTTAAGTAAAATATATTTTATTTTACTTGTTAAGGAAGGTCAAGTAATCTAACTAGGTATGAAAACACTCTTAAAGTAACGAACAGATGGTTTTATCCCTACTGAGTGTTCCTATAAATGCCAGCAGGAATTGGCTTCTATTTTGAAAAAAAAAAATCAATCTATTAAGATTTGGTTGCTATATTGCTAATGCTTGTTCTGTACAAAGAGAGGGACCGAGAGGGAATTGCATTTTGGAACTTACTCTAAAGTAGGGCAATCCCCAGCAGTCTACATTGCACTATGCACTGTGCAATGTGTGTAAGTATATTGAAAGATATCGAGAACAGTATCACTCGTACTTGTACTGCAGATTAGAATCATTGCACTTGGGCAGAAGGTAGATGGAGACCACATCTGTCATTTGTGCCTCCAGCTACTTGTTCCCACGTACATAAAGAGAGCTCTGGCTTACTGTCCATTTCACAGTTTAGATTCATGCAGTGTTGTACAGTAGAAAATTAGCTATGAACAACTGGCAAACTTTGGGTTCAAGAATGGATATTTTAATGGTCGTAAAGGGCTGGTCCCTTGAATTTTTTTTTTAACGCTTTATTGAAAAATGTCACAGAAAAGATATATGATTTTTATCAAAATAAATGCATGTTCAAGGATATGTTTTTGCAGTTCCTGAGTCATTCTTTTTTGGTTTCCGTTTTAACTAATGTTGCTCCTATGCAATAGCATACATATTATTTTAGAAAATAATCAAAAAGACACTGATCAGGATACTCTATTAATGGCAATAGCATAAGTATTCATTTTAGAAATGAATCAATAAGACACTGATAAGAATACTCCATAAATGACTGGAATGGAAATTATCCCTTTGTTTAAAAATATTTAGGCCTGATGTTTGTCTGTCTTTAAATTGGCCCAAACATTTTTTATTGAACATTAAACTTTATAGAATGAGTTATGATATTAGCCAGTCTTTGTGGCAAGTAAAAGGTCTTCATTTTTGCATGTAATCTATAGAGGGAACTAATATATAAGTTCTCTCTGCGTGTCCTCCAAAGACTTGAGGAAAATGGTGAAGAATACCACCTTCTTTTGACTGTGTAAAATTGCATGTATCATACTCACGGTATATAATCTAATAGATGTCATTGTTTTAAAACAAAAACAAAAGTTTAACAAATGTTAAGTGCCAAAGCAAGATGGATTAGTGAAAGCAATACCATTCAACATAAATATATTACCACTTATTTAATTTCTTTCACTTATTTTAGGGTCATGGATAGTAATTTCATAAGAGAACAAATTGCTACCTAACTGTTAATAATCCTCATTATTCCCTGTGCAGCTAATTCTTTAAATGTTTTTACTTATGAAATTTATAGCAACTGTGAAAGTCTTATTATTAGTAGATATTTAAACAACTTGTAATTGTTTCACAGTTTTTTTAATATGTGGCTCTTAAGCTGTGGAGAAGTGGAGAGTAAAAGAAATACAATACATGCTTATTAATAATATATTTTTGACTCAACCTGGAAATGATAGAAGTATAAACCAGTCAAAATACAGCTACACATTCACCTCTAATACACATCATTGTTATTATGAAACTAATGACTTTAAAAAAATATATTATGTATACAGTTTAGTAAATTGCGTAATGACTAATGTTCTAATATGCAATAAAAAAATATACTGACAAAACAAATTACAAAGTATACACTGAAATATGTAAAAAATAAATTAAAAATAACCACAATTTTAATATTTGGATGATATTTTCTAACATGGAAGAAAATTTAAATGTAAAATGATTGTCCTTATGAGTCACTTGATTTTTTTTTTGTTTTTTTAATAAAACATATTTTCCTCTTCATATATTTATATATATGTATATATATTACAATTTAAATCATGAAAAAAAATATTATCATAGACACAGATAATATTGAAGTGTTTAATAATGTGAAATGGTCCTAAATTTTGCTGTGTAAAAAATGAATTGGAAAACACTATGTTTCATGATTTGTCTATTAAAAAACATTTCTAGGCAGGATTAGAAGATATATATATTTTTCAAGTTTCCACAAAACTATGCTAGAGAAAGATACGTGTTAAGTTATATGATTTGGGGCTAATCTTTCAAAATAGTAATCTTCAGATACATATTTTACAATTTCAAACTGTACAGAGTATCCAGCGTTGTGTTTTAACAACATATACAGATCAATTCATTTTTTTATAAAACTTATTTGTAATAGTAAAATTAAAAGCCACAGAGTTAAAATAAGGAAGATCAAAATATGCCTCAATAGGTCATAGTGCTCAATCTGGAAAGCTGCATCTTTGGTATTGAAAGGTCCGTACAAATTGATGTAGCTTACAGCTTTTTTTTTTGTTTTTTTAAAGGGTGAACAGTAATTGGTCCAGTTTTATTATTACGAAACATTATTCAAGAATTATGTCAAACGATAAATTATTTAGGACCTGACTTGTTGGTTGGTGTTTATAGTGTGGTCTGTATGAATCAATTTATAAATGAACTAACTGTACCACTTTTTCAGAAAATTATATAATATAATATATACTTTATATTTATTTAGAAGCTTTGAAATAGTACAGTAAACACTTTGCAACACGGTGTATAAACTACAGAATGTCTTTGATATTTTGTGGGTCAGTAGATAAACAACATTTTGATGACCCACTGGTGAAAATAACATGATCACAATCTGTCTTGTAAAGTTTAGATAATTTGGGAAACACTTGATCACACAAAATAATATAAAACAGTCAAGTTTAAAACAGTGATATTGCATTTATAATGCACGTTCTATTTGTACGATTGGCTTCTTGTGGTGAATAGAAACATCTAAAGGGCTCAGTGACATTTTGGAGAAAGAAAGATATATAGTGCTGTAAACAGGCACACACTGATAATGGAGGCAAGTTCGGTTGCCTCTCCAGTTTCTACAGTTCTTCTTCACATTTCAACTCATTTCTCAGGCCTGCTGAGAGCAGTAAGGTCCTAATATTGGCCATGTCTTCAGCAGCAGACTAATAATCCTTCAATAATACCGAGATTGATAGCCAAGATAATGAAGTTGAAAAGTTGATGCTTTTGTTGGTCAACTTGTGCAAATCATGCTGCTTCAGGTAAGTCCTGTAGATTTGACTAGCATATCCTTTTCCGCGCTGTGGAAAATAAAGAAGGTAAATATATTTGTTATTAAAAATAATTTTATATTTATCAGCAGGCCACATAAAATTGCATACAACATAATTTTTGGCAATGACTAAAAGTAAACTCATTAATATTTATCATTTAGCATTGCATACATACTGTACTAAAGCTCTTTCACTTCGGGTCTTTTTATCATATATATGTTAACCTTTCTCAACACAAGGTAGGTGCAATGTAAAGATTAGGTTACCGTTCACCCATTGAACACCTTAACTATAAATGCTTTTATTTTCATATGTATTTTTCAGTATGAAATTTAATCATAAAGTCCAACTCACCATCATTTATACTCAAGTTATAATTACCAGACTGTGGGGCAGGGGTAGGCAAACTTCAACATTCCACATGTTGTGGACTAAAACTCCCTTGGTGCTTTGCCAGCAATATGGTTGTGAGAACATTTTGGGTGGTGATGTCACGAACGGTTCACCGAACGGTTCACCGAACGGTTCGCGAATGGTTCGCCACGAACGGTTCATCGCGGACTCATCATTGAGTAAACTTTGACCCTGTACCTCACAGTCAGCAGACACATTCCAGCCAATCAGCAGTAGACCCTCCTTCCCACCTCCTGGACAGCATCCATTTTGAAGCTGCATTCTTAGTGAGCTGTCCAGGAGGTGTTCCTTGATTGTGTTCCAGTATTGAGAGTTTTTTTTCCCTAAAACAAAATCCTTTTATCTTATTCTGGAAAGTGTGCCCTGTTCTTGTACTATTCTCATCATATCCAAATTTATGTGAGTGCTGTTCTGTCCTTTTTCATTCATACTTAATTTGCAATGATTCTCTGTTTCCTTTCTCTGTCATTTGCCACAATGATAACACTGCCCTCTTTAAGTATTTTTGAATAGTTAAAACTAAAAAAATAACAGAAGTAGAAAAATTGTTTGATGGACCACAAAACATAAACATTTCAATGTGTACTAAATAACTCAACTTGTGCTTTTACTTCTTCTGTTCTATATGAAGACTGTGTGTGGCATTATAAATGTAAACACGTTTCACTCTACTGACAAGTGACCTTTAAATCTATTATGCATAATAAATTTAAAAGACTTTGTAAAATTATTTACTGTACGTTTTACTTTAATCCTGAATTTTCCTCTATCATGTCCAAATGATCTTCTAAGATTGTTTGCACAGAGATACAAAAGTTTGTTTATTGACAATTAAAATCTGAGTGGACATTCTACAAGGCACTAAGTTGCTCATATTCAACAGAGATCTGTCTCACAATACATAATGCACATTAGCTGTTTGCTAATTGGTATCTGTAGCTTAATTGGATGCACATGCAATGTATGTTTATTATCTCTGGTAATACTCAGAATGAATTAGTGTCGACCAGTCATTTAAACTCAGTGTATTTTATTTTTGTTTTGTTTGCCTGCAAACAGAAACTAATGTTAATTTATTCTGTAATGTAAATCTTAAAAAAGATACTGAATCTCTATGTGCTCAATACACAATTAAGACATTTAAAACTCTGCTCCACTGACAAAAATCCACATTTAGCTGCATAATCATTAACTTGGAGAATATAATATACAATTAAAATACACGATTAACTAAAGGAGAAGCTAGAAGCTTAGGTATTATGCAATCATTTAATTTATTTTGCTGCAATGATCAACTGCACTAAATAAATTAAATTACAAAAACAGTTTTGTGGTTAGGTCATTCTCAGCAGTATCAGCCAAGTATTATCTGGTCTATTTATTGATTTGCTAAAGAGGCAACACGTCTATTGAGGTACTCGAGGAAGAAAATTGAAAACATGGTAACATGAAGAGACTGACTCTACGAATATAATAAAAAAAGACATAAAATTGTATTCTAGCTGGCACAAGTGTCTTAACATTGTAATTAAATCATCTGTATACCTGTTATCTGAAAGCACTAAAGAAGTTTGAATATGTTGCACAGTGGAGCCCTTTTCAAACATTTATTATCAAAAAGAGATCACTGATCAACAGGAATTACAAGAATATTGACTAACAACACACTTCTCAAATTCACCAATATGGAGAATTGTGTGAATAGTTATTATGATTGACAAACAACCAGTTTCAACAATGTAGTCTCAGGTCCGTCTTTCCGCATGGGCACGCTGGGCACTTGCCCGGGGCCCCCACAAGCATATGGACTCCACAGCATTGCCCATGTACTGGGTCGATAGGGGGGAACGGGTCTTGCTTATTTGTTTTTGAACCCTCTCAGGCCAGTTGGCAGCTCAAAGTTCTCCCACACCGGCAAAAATGCCATTCGTTAGAGAGAAGGAAGGAGGGAGGGAGGGAAGGAGGGAGGGAGGGAGGGAGAGAGGACCTGGGAGGCAGGTCCTCCCGCCAGCATGCTGGTCAGAGCGTTGCCTCACATTGCCATGGCAATGCTCCGACACAACATTCTGCTCGCAGAAAAAAAGAAGAATGAAGATAGCCTGAAGCCAGAGGAGCTGCATGCTGTAGATCTATACTACTCACCAGTGTCCTCCCCTCCCACTGAAGGTAAGAAGAAGGATGGGGGCACTGAGGAGGGACATAAAGCTTTTCTTTTATAGATAAAAATAACAAACAAAAAATCCCTTTTTCTTATGCACCCCCCACACACAGAGCACCTCTCACACACACGCAGCACCCCTCACACACACACAGAGCATCCCTCACACACACAGCACCCCTCACACACAGCACCCCTTACACACACACACACACACACACACACACAGAACCCCTCACACACACGCAGAGCACCCCTCTCACACACACACACACACACACACACACACAGCACCCCTCACACACATAGCACCCCTCACACACACACAGCACCTCTCTCATGCCAGACATCCCAAGTCTTCCGGGAGGTCCGGGAGACTCACACTTTTGTAGTGTGACTCGCTGACCCCCTCAAGTGTCAAACACTATCCCAGAAATCATACACAATCTGACATACAATATATATCAAGTTGAGTGTGATTTCCAGGCTGTTATATATGCTAAATGCCCTCAATAAATTAAGGACACTTAGCATATATTAAGATTACCCATCCAATTAATATTATTTCTGAGCAGGGACTCGGTCGAGTGCCCCAGCCCTTTAAGAGCCTGACCGGACACATGCAGTATCTGCCGGCTGGGAGGAAGTGATAGAGAACCTGTCACTTCCTCCCAGCTAAAAAGACAGCCACGCAGGAGGGACAATGAGGAGAAGGAGGCTGGAGCACATAGGCAGCATGGAGGCAGAGGAGAGGCTGGAGCTCCCATCAGCCTCAGCCAGGACATTAATAATTAATATACCTTGTGCATATCTGTGTATGTGCTAGTGTGTGTGTCAGTGTAATCTGTGTGTGTGTGTGTGTGTGTGTATGCAAGTGTGTGTATCTGTATGTCAGTGTGTATCTAAATTTCAGTGTGTATCTGTGGGTGTATATGTGCAGGTGTGTGTATCTGTGTGTCAGTGTGTATCTGAGTGAGTGTGTATCTGTCAGTGTGTGTATCTGTATGTATGTAAGTATGTGTATGTGCCAGTGAGTGTAGTGTATATACCAGTCTGTGTATCTGTGTGTATTTGAGTGGGTTTGTGTATCTGTACGTCAGTGTCCATAACTGTGTGTGTGACTGTGTGTGTTTATGACAGTGTCTGTAACTGTGTGTCAAGGTGTGTGCATGAGTCCGTGTGTCAATAGTGTGTGTAATAGTTGTAATATGTAACTAGTTGTGTTCTGTCACATGTTTGGTGGCTGTGTGTATGTGTGCATTTTGGGGGGCGTATATGTGCAGGCGCACATGTGTGCATGTGTTGGGGTGCATGCATGGTGGTGCAGTTGCTGGTACAGCCACCTCCCTGAAATGAGATTTTGCATGTTGTGATGTCTGCTCACACACACAGCACCCCTCTCATACACAGTACCCCTCTCACATACACAGCACCCTTCACACACACAGCACCCCTCGCGCACACAGCACCCCTCTCACACACATAGCACTCCTCTCACACACAGCACCCCTCTCATATACACAGCACCCCTCACACACAGACACACATACACAGTACCCATCACACAAACACACGGCACCCTTCACACACACACAGCACCCTTCACACACAGCATCTCACTCACACACCACCCTTCACACACACAGGACACCCCACACACACAGCACTCCTCACACACACACTGCACCCCTCACACAACATATATAGCAGCACTCACACACAAACAGCACCCCTCACTGCTTTCTGCCTGTGTGTATTCAGCAGTTTGTATGTGTGTGTGTGTGTGTGTGTTTAGCAGTCTGTGTGTGTGTTCAGCAGTCTGTGTGTGTATGTTAAGGACTATGGTTATGTATTCAGCAGTCTGTGTACATGTATTCAGCAGTCTGCATGCATGTAGTCAGCACTGTTGTGTGTATGTATTCAGCAGTGTGCATGTATTCAGCAGCATGTATGTGTGTGTGTGTGTGTGTGTGTGTATTAAGCAGTCTGTTTATGCATTTAGCAGTCTGTTTGTACTCGGTAGTCTGTGTGTGTGTACTCAGCAGTCTGTGTGTGTATTCAGTAGTCTGTGTGTATGTATTAAGTATTCTGTGTGTATGTATTCAGCAGCCTGTGTGTATTCTGCAGTCTGTCTGTGTGTATGCAGCAGTCTGTGTGTGTGTATTCAGCAGTCCGAGTGTGTGTACTTAGCAGTAGTCTGTGTGTGTGTATTCAGTAGTCTGTGTGCCTATGCAGTAGTCTATGTGTATTTATTCAGCAGCCTGTGTGTGTATGAAGCAGCCTGTGTGTATTATGCAGTATGTGTGTATGTATTCAGCAGCCTGTGTGTATTCAGCAGTCCGTGTGTGTATTCACCAGTCCGTGTGTGTGTATTTAGCAGTGTGTGTGTATTCAGGAGCCGGTGTGTTTATTCAGCAGTCTGTGTGTATTCTGCATTTTGTGTGTGTGTGTGTGTGTATTCAGCAGTGCATGTGTGTGTATTCAGCAGTCTGTGTGTATGTATTCAGCAGCCTGTATGTGTATACAACAGCCTGTGTGTATTCAGCATTTATTCAGCAGTCTGTGTGTGTGTATTCAGCAGTCCGTGTGTGTATTCAGCAGTCTGTGTGTTTGTATTGTGTGAATATTGCATTTGTTGAAGGTACCAATAAATATATGCTTAATTTTATCAATAATTTTAATTTTTATTCCTGTGACTGGTTGTGTAGGCAGTGTCCTAGTGCACTGCTTTGCAAAGGGACCCATAATGTTGTTAAGATGGCACTGTGTAGTCTACCAAATATGTGAAATAGGAATGTGCTAGTGATGTTCTATTACATTAATTGAAAATTGGATGACTGTCATGTCTTCCACTCTTTCAACATATTGTTTATTTCTATATCTCTATTTACATTCCCAAACATCCATTATTTATCTTTATGTAAAATATACCAGTGTACAATCTCAATACATCAAAAACTGCAAACATTGCAACAACAAAAAGGTATTCTCGCTCTGATATTTAGAACATTAACAAACAAAACCATATGATAATGTAAGAAATGCATTATAAAATTAAAGTATGAATTCTCTAAGTTTAACACCATTAGAAAGACAAAACTATTGGTACACCCAATGCAAGAACCTCAATTCATTTGTCCTTGAAGGGTAAATGTAATATAAATGTAATGTGTATTGCATTTTTCAATACCCCATACAAAATGCTAGGAGCCTTGGCCAGTGAGTCATCTAGTCATGATAGCAGAGCTTGAGTTTCAGTGTGTATCTGTGTGTGTATATGTGCAGGTGTGTGTATATGTGTTTATCTGAGTGAGTGTGTATGTTTCAGTGTGTATATCTATATGTATGTAAGCATGTGCCAGTGAGTGTATCTTAGTGTGTGTGTGTGTGTGTGTGTGTAAATACCAGTCTGTGTATCTGTGTGTAGTTGAGTGTGTGTGTATCTGTATGTCAGCATGTATCTGAGTGTGTGTGACTGTGTGCGTATGTGACAGTGTCCATAACTGTGTATCAGTCAGGTGTGTGCATGAGTCTGTGTGTTAATAGTGTGTGTAAATAGTTGTAATATGTAACTAGTTGTGTTCTGTCATAATAAAATATCATGTCATTGTTTATACATGTTTGGTGGCTGTGTGTATGTGTGCATTAAAGGGCGCGTATGTGTTGGGGTGGGTGTGTGGGGGTGCAGTTGCTGGTACCGCCATCTCCTTGAAATGAGATTTTTCATGTTGGGATGTCTGCTCACACACACAACACCCCTCTCACACACAGCCCCCCTTTTGCACACAGCCCCCCTTTTGCACACAGCCCCCCTTTCACACACAGCAATCCTCTCACACACAGTACACCCCTCTCACACACAGCACACCCCTATCACACACAGCGCACCCCTCTCACACACAAACACACACAGAATCCCTCACACACCCAGCACCCCTCTCACAAACAGCACCCCCCTCACACACAGCACCCCTGTCACAAACACAGCACCTCTCTCACAAACACAGCTACTCTCTAACACACAAAGCACCCCTCTCACATACACAGCACCCATCACACAAACATACATGTGTAGTGCATTTTTCAGTACCCCATACTAAATGCTAGGAGCCTTGGCCAGTGAGTCATCTAGTTATGATAGCAGAGCTACATAAACTGTTAAAGATGGTGTGATATGGTAGTATCCAGTGTATATGCATGAGCCTGGACATGAAGATGAAGAAATCACTTCCCATTTGTCCACTAACAGCTTTTCACACAGGAAAAGTATTTCCCTGGACACCCATGCATAGTAGGCTAGAATTAAGAAGATGCATAGTTGCAAACTTTTAAGGAAATGTTGGGGGGTGGGAACTCATCAGTCAGCAGGAGAAGTTGATGGATCCTGACTGACTTCCCCACTTTCCCTACCTGGTTATGGTATTGGTGTGGTGTTTTTTTCCCTAGTGTTGTGCTTTGTCACAGCTGGTGGGATTCCTGGACAGTGCAGCCACAGAAAAGAGTGAGATGTGGAGTTAGTTTGGAGAGACTACAGTCTGGACGAGGCCGATGGCAAGTGCCGGCTGTTAGAGCTAATGGCAATTAGGTGGGAGGAGAACTGTCTATTGGGCTAAACACCCAACAGCTGACAGGTTGTTTATAAAATTGTTACATAGTTTAAATAAAGCTATTGCCTTTTTCCCTTATCAACAAATGTGTTTCCAGTCTTTTATTGGTGGGCAACGGTCTTGGTAATGGAATGGGAATGCCTTGTAGGAGGAGCAAGGACAGCACCAAGTGATTCACCCTGTATAACTGTTCCTTCTATTTTACCATCAATCATAAGAGGCTGATTACTTGGGAATAACCTTTCTAACTCCACATGCCTGTAACCTAAATGCCGCATGTTGCTCTAAATCTAACTTTAGCTTAAATCCAAAACCTAAAAAAACTATTTACTTAATCCCCAATGTAAGCACTCAATGACTAAGCCCTTAACTTAAATCTTGGTTCAACTGTTAAAACTCAAACGTACTATTGAACCACATTGTATGTAACCCCATTCTAACCCTAAACCCAAATAATCATTGGATCCACAACTATAACCCCTTTCAAGATTTAAAAATCATCTTAACACTCTCTGTAAACTAACTCTGACATTAATCCTCACTAACCTTTGCTCCCCTTTACCCTAACCTCTTTGAACATTAACTTCAATTAACCCTTCCCTGTCAAGCTGTTATCATTAGAAAAACATGGCTCAGCATTTATTTCAAACACAGAATGCATTTCATGCATATGTTTGCTAGAACTACTTAAAATGAAAATTAATGTAACTTTTTAATTTTTCATTCATCCTTTACAGAAATATTGAGGGGTAACAAGTTTTAAAAATCACATTATGTACCCAATGTTGCACCATTTTAAACATTAAGTGGAATGCAGAAATTGCCATTTTTGTCAAAAAGTATTTTATTTTTTTTAGACATCCCAAGAAAAAAGTAAGAGCTAGTCGTACAATGTGCTAAGGGAAAACAGGAGGGGTAACCCCTAACAATAAATATCTTCCAGAACTATAATATTTCATATAACTTGAACAATTTAATTTGAACAATTTCTAGCAGCCTTTTTAGAATCCTTATTCCTATTGTGATTTTAAGGTTTAAATTTGATGTTTTATATTTCAAATTATTAATAAAAGTTATGTTTTAGCACTGTATGTAAAACAGGTTCTTATTTCTGAGAATCCCACCACAATATAACAGCAAGGTCTCAATGAGTGCACAGTACATAGAATAAGTACAGTTATTCCATGTCTCATTGACGCTACCACAGCCTGAAAATAATTTCTGTAGTTTATTCAATATGCTCAAAGCCTTCTATTCTCTCTGACTGTTTCCTTAAATGCAGTCCTGCAGTTCCCCTATAACATCTGCAGAATATGAGAGGACCGGGCAGGCACCATTATTTACACATATTAAGAGGGACACAATAGAGCAGTGACAGAGAAAAAAGTAGAATGTAAACCATTACTAGAGAACAATAGTGTGTTTTGAAAGGCCAAGAATGTATATGTAAGTAACGTGTTAAAAAGAAAAGGAATTTGATTTTCAGTAATATATTTACCATACTTAGCAATGAAGCCGATTTTTATTATTTCAAAAATGACAAATCTCTATTACTTACATTTTGTTTTGAGCATTTATTTTCCTTCTAAATAGCTTTATACATGTGTCAGGAAATCCATATCGCCTTAAAATGTGTGAAATAGATGAAGACTCCATGCTGCCTAAGCCATCAAATTCCTGTTGTGACAGAACCAGGGAACTTTCATCGTAATAATCCGTTTAAAAATCCTGACTTTAATGTACAACAATGTCCACGGCTACTGCATAGTAACTGCATGGTTACAAATTCCCTTAGATAACCAGGCATCAAAGATAGCATAAAATCTCTGCGCCCTTCTAACCACAACACACAAATTTAATCTTGGCATGGTAAATTATTAAGGATTTATTTACTAGGAAATTAAATGTGTGCTCTATTTCTACCATGGTAATACAACGTTTTAGATTTTTTATGCATATGATTTAAAAATGCAAGACCATGCTGCTTTAGATATAAAATCATAAGGTGAGTATAAAGGCCTATTATTTCTATAATTATAGTTTTACCACCTTTTACCACCTTCAAAAAATAATAGATGATTATTGATGTCTATTCCGCATTACATTCTTTAAAGGAGAACAATTTAATGCTGTTCCTATTTCCTTTCAGATGCAAAAATCTATACTTGTATTTATATGCAGCTAAAATGCCATAATATCCTTCCCTTAAAAATTGTACATTTAACAGTGTTTTGGGCATCTGTACAATCGTAATACTATTGGATTGCACTCAATAAACCTCATCAGACCCGAACTAACGGCCAAATGCTCAAGTTTAGTGATCCCACTCAATAGATAATAATCAGTAGCTCAGATAGCAATTAAGGTTTATTTCATTTGGAAATACTTATGGGACATTTAAATTAGCAATATATTCTGAATACAGCTAACTTAATTCTATTTTTCAAAGTTATGGACTTTGTTTTAACATAAATCTAATACTAAAATGAAGGCAAACACCATGCTGAAATAGTTAATTAAAAACGCTACATGGATATTTAGTTTACAAAGTTAAAGCTACCGTTTATGGTTCTAATGCATCCATGCAGAATTCATTCTTGACAAAGAGTTCTCATTAACTGAAAACAAATAATGGAACAACTGAGGAACAATAGGAACTTTTGTTAGATCTCTGCCATAAGTGTTATTTTCCTGCAATTTTAAATCACTCGTGAATCTTGCAACTTTAATATATTTTTATAATTCTTCACTTAATCACAAAAGCACACTTTGGTGTATATTTCTAAAATAACATAGCATATTCAGAATAAACAAAATGTATTATTTTTACTAATAATTTTGGCTTTTCTCAGGAGAAGCACAATATTATCAATAAATTGCAATATGAGCTTTACAATTTTGTTTCTCTATGAAAACTGCAAAGATGTGTGTGCTAGATTTTTTAACAGTTTCCACAGTCACAATAGGTATGACTGAAATAGTACATTAATTAGAAAGGGTATCTTCTAATCCCATGTCCTAATATTCCATGAAATATTGTCAAAAATAAAAAAATTTGAACATTCATACTCTATTGTTTAGGCCAATCAAAAAAAGACTGAGCACAAATTGAACATAAAATTATTCATATGCAATTTGGTATTATCTCAAAATAGAAACACAAATAAGAAAGCCATGTCTGTTGTTTTACTTGCTTATGAAGTGTGCAAGAAATAAATCAGATATATTTATGCAAAACTACTCAGAATTTCAAAAGAATAATATATACACGACATTGTAAGAATTGTCAGTTGTTGAATATTGTATACTGTATCATTCTTAACTAGCAAATTTGTAGGACACTATTCTTTACTTTGTATGCTATTCTTGAAAAAGCATCCTTCCTGACCTACTTAGAACTAATCATTATGCTATCATCATGTGAATCTTCTTCTAGGATTGCTGGAACATGAAATTAGTTAAAGTTACTGTAGAAAATGTTACTATACAGATGACAAAATATCTCCGAGAGAAGTAGGTTCTTGGCTGAAATATGATGTGAATTCCTCTTTCAGTTTATATGTTTCTATTTGTCAGAAAATTTTCTTCATAGTTTATAAGCTAGGATAGCTTTAAAAATGTCTAGTGAATCCCACACATCATTAGCTTCAACAATTCCTAAGATAAATACCTTTGCAATTGTTTAACAGGGTCCCACTGACTTTATATGTAACATCACGGCACACTCTTCTCCTGCCCACACACTATCATCTCTTTTACAATCGTGACATGGAGCTGTTGTAGGAGTATTTCTATTCTGTTTATAAGAGAACGTATCGACTAATACATTTTTTCGGAGCTACGATCAAAAGATTTAAATGCCCATGGATGACTAACTTCTATGGCATTTATGTTTTAATTTAAACAAAGCAAAAAAAAATAACATTTTAAATCACTTTACAAAATTGTTTTGCAATCAATTAGTTTACAACTCTGTTAGTCCACCCATAGTACAGCGCTATGGAAATTGCCTGGCGCTATATAAATGATAAAATAATAATAATAATCAAAACTGGTTCTGATTTAAAATAATGAAAATTAATATTGGGAACATTTCACCAACATGATCATTTAAAAATCTTTAGTGTGCAGTGCGAGACAGAATAGCATTCCTAGGTGTTAGCAAATATTGCCTTGATACTGCATATACATAAAGTACTTTAGTGGAGATTTGTCAAAGAGTTCTGTTCTACAAAGTGGTACAATAACGTAAAAGAGAAGTCACTAATGGAGTATGCCTGTTGGTCAAACTGGTTTCCAAGTGATCTCCCCACTATTTGTTTGTTAGACCACTTTTTAGAAGAGAACACTTTGATAAATATTCCCCTAAAATATTGAGCCATTTTGCAAACTGAAAGTTGCTCATGTGAATTTAACAGATGATTTCAAATACCATTTTGAACAGTAATATAAGCTGGTATATTTTGGGGAGTTTTAAAGGTGAAAACCTTTTATTGCAATATTTAACCATTTTATCTGTTAAGTTGTTTTTCTGGCATTTAAGGACATATATAAAATGATAACTTAACATAAGAATAATGACTAACTGGTAATTAGTTTTTCTATCAATACTTACTGTCTTATTGCCTTGCAAAAACAGTTTAGATGTAGTGATGTCCCGAACGGTTCGCCGAACGGTTCGCCACGGATGGCGAACATATGCGCTGTTCGCTCCGCCCCCTATGTCATCATTGAGTAAACTTTGGCCCTGTACCTCACAGTCAGCAGACACATTCCAGCCAATCAGCAGCAGACCCTCCCTCCCAGATCCTCCCACCTCCTGGACAGCATCCATTTTACATTCATTGTGAAGCTGCTGTCCAGGAGGTGGGAAGGTCTGGGAGGGAGGGTCTGCTGCTGATTGGCTGGAATGTGTCTAAACAGTCAAATATTAAAGTAGTGTTTAGGTAGCTTATATATTTGCAGGCTAACTTTCTGTGACTTGGAATCACCAGATTTGCCAATTTTTGTTAGTAAACAAACCGAAAATAAAACAAATCCAACAGATAACTCAGCAGCATATAATTTAAAAAGCTTAGGCAGACTAATCCAATGTTATTTTTTGAAGAGTGAATTTAAGCTTAAAAAAAAATGTACGTTAATTTGGCTGCTAAAGTCTACTTACTTCATATGATTCATTTAAGCAAAATGCATTTGGCTCACACAGTAATGTAATGGTGTATAAAGCAATTCAAATAAACTTATGTATTTACATAATAATACATTTAAAAAAAATAGTAGAGAAGAAAATCTATACTTCAGTTTTTTGTGCATTTTAGTTTTGTAAAAGGTTTGCTGTTTTAACAGTATAAAAGTGGGTTCATCTGAGAACCTTGTGTTAAATACACAACATGCACATATCCAATATTCTAAACAAAGAATTTGGTATAATCCTTTCAGTAACTTTGTTATATAGTTCCATAGTTACATAGGCTGACAAGAGACTTGTGCCCATCAAGTTCAGCCTTTCTCACATCTTGTTTTGCTGTTGATCCAAAAGAAGGCTAAAAAAATTAAAAAAAAAAAACAGTTTGATGCACTTCCAACAAACTAGGAAAAAATAATAATTCTTGACCCCAGAATGACAGTCAGATATATCCTTGGATCAAGAAGCTATTACCCCACAAATAAAAAATTATATAGGTATTCATCTAGTTGTTGTTTAAACATCTGTATAGACTCTGATAAAACCACTTCTTCAGGATGAGAATTTGACATCCTTATTGTTCTTACTGTAAAAAAAAAAACCCATTTCCTTTGCCTTAGATTAAATCACCTTTCTTCCAGTGTAAATGCCTGACCTCGCATCTTATGTATAGTCCTGTTTATGAATAGATTTGCCGACACTGGTTTGTATTGGCCCTGCATATATTTGTGACCTCTATTTTTTTTGCATGCAGTTGTATGCTAATGGATGTATATTTTTATTTACAATGCCATAATAAAATGACATGTACTGTATGAGTACACATTGTAGTAGGATTTTACCATAAGCTGTATTGTTTGGATGAGGCACAGTATTTCATCCTATTTATTTTATCCCACATACCTTTAGCAATCTTTTTCTTTTCTTCAAATTAATGAGCATAAGTCATTTCGTAACATTCCTGTTAACTTTTTTAATGAAATTGTGTGTACGTATATGAATAGGATGGAGCAAAATACTATTAATTTGTCAAGTGCAGCAACCAACAAGCAATCTTGGTAATAAGATGCAGACATAATAATACAAAAAAATTGATGGTGTGCAATAATAAGCAAACCACTCTCTGTGGATATCTTAATAAAGAAGTGGATAAAAACCTTCTAAAATATTATATGCAATTTACAGTAAGCACACGTGTCACAAACCTAGATGCAATCTCGGTGTAATACAACCATCAATACGTGCAATTGTTATATATGTGATCAACAAAGTGACAAGTGCATATACTTGCAAAGTAGCATTTCTGATACCCGAGAAGGAGACAAAAAGAGAGAACTCCTAGTGCAATACAGTATAAAATATGTACAATAAAATAATATGGCTCTTTAAGTATCTCACTCACAAGATAGGAGTGGTAAAAGCACCCCTCATAGCTATAGCACTCAGGGAGGATCAGCCCACAGCGTGCGTGGGATCCGTAGGATACACTTGCGACCAGGATGTCACGTAAGTATATTTTTTTATTTAAGCAATGTGAAAGAATATATAGAATTCACTATCAGTTCACCAACACTTGGGAACGAATAAAGTCCAATTACAGCGTGCTAAACAGTCTCTCACGTCCCAGAGTGTAAATGAGATACTTAAAGATCTATATTATTTTATTATACATATTTTACACTGTATTGCACTAGGAGTTCTCTCTTTATTGTCTCCTTCTGATATATCAAAATTGCTACTTTGCAAGTACATGCACATGTCACTTTGTTGATCACATATATCACAATTGCCAGTGGCGTACATACCAGGGTCGCAGGGGTCGCGACTGCGACCGGGCCCGGCCCACCAGGGGGCCCGGCCGCCCCTGCCGCCCCTGCGACCCGGTATGTAGCCACAGGGCCAGCCTCTTCCCCTGGGGGGCCGAGGAGGCGGCCACCCCAGGGCCCCCCGAGGCTGGCCCTGCTGACCCCGGTGGGCGCGCGAGGGAGCACTCAGTGCTTCCTCTTCAGCTCCCTCGCGCACCGCACTGATACCGGAGCCGGAAGATGACGTCATCTTCCGGCGCCGACATCCCTATGCGGCGCGCGAGGGAGCTGAAGAGGAAGCACTGAGTGCTCCCTCGCGCGCCTGCCTGCCCGCCCGCCCGGCCACCTGGGGTCAGCAGCACCACTGGACCCCAGGGAATCCCCCCAGCACTCCAAAAGGTAAGGAGGCTGGGGGGATTAAATAAAAAAAAAAAAAACATGTGTTAGTGTTAGTGTGTTAGTGTGTGTGAGTGTGAGTGTGTGTGTGAGTGTGTGTGTGAGTGTTAGAGTGAGTGTTAGTGTGAGGGTTAGAGTGTGTGTGAGTGTTAGTGTGAGGGTTAGAGTGAATGTTAGTGTGTCAGTGTGAGTGTTAGTGTGTGTGAGTGTTAGTGTGTGTGTCTGCTAGTGAGTGTTAGTGTGAGTGTTAGAGTGAGTGTTAGTGTGTGTTTGCTAGTTAGTGTGAGTGTTAGTGTGAGTGTTAGTGTGTGTGTCTGCTAGTGAGTGTGAGTGTTAGTGTGTGTGAGTGTTAGAGTGAGTGTTAGTGTGTGTGTCTGCTAGTGAGTGTCAGTGAGTGTGTTTTAGTGTGTTTCTTACTGAGTGTGTGTGTGTTAGTGAGTCTGTTTGTGAGTGTGTGTTTGTCAATGAGAGTGTATGTTTTGTAAGTGAGTGTGTATGTATGTCTGTCGCTGACTGTGTCTCTGTCAGTAAATGTGTGTGTCTGTTAGCTAGTGTGTATGCGTCTGTAAGTGTGTGTCTTCAGCACTTACCTTTCTCCAGCGCCGGACTCCCTTGGCGCTGAGGATCCCTCAGCCCTGGCCTCGAATGGAGCAGCATAGCATTCAAACGCCCATAGGAAAGCATTACTTTCAATGCTTTCCTATGAATTCAATTTTCAATGCTCCTCTAGCGGCTGTCCAGTGAGACAGCCACTAGAGGCCTGAATTAACCCTCAGTGAAACATAGCAGTTTTAGAAACTTGCACTTTATGTTTTCAACTACACAGAGTTAAAACACTAGAAAGGGCGACACTCCAGACAACTTCGGTGAGGCTGATGTGATCTACCAGGTATGCGCGGCTGGTCCTTTAAAGGACCACTACCCAATTTTCCAGGGAAAACACTTTCATTTTTCCTGGCACTATATAGTGCTGAGGGGGTACCCCCCACCCTCAGGGACCCCCGCCACGGCTTCGGGGAAAGGGGAAAGGGGTAAAACACACACACTTTTTTCCAGCGGGGAGGAGGCTCTCCCCTCCTCCTCTCTTCTCCCTCCCCGCCGGCTGTGCGCGCACGCGCGGCAAGAGCTGCGCCCGCGCATTTAGCGATCACATAGGCATTCGCCAATGCTTTCCTGCTGACATGGCGTGCTTCTCACTGTGAAATCACAGTGAGAAACGCTTAAAGCTCTAGCGGCTGTCAATGTGACGGCGCTAAATGGGAAGGCTTAACCCATTCATAAACATAGCAGTTTCTCTGAAACTGCTATGTTTATGAAAAAATGGGTTAACCCTAGCTGGACCTGGCACCCAGACCACTTCATTAAGCTGAAGTGGTCTGGGTGCCTAGAGTGGTCCTTTAAGTGTGTGTGCATCTGCATTCACTGGCGTACATACCGCGGTCGCAGCCCTGTAACCTCTGCGACCAGGTGCCCACCTTCATGTGTTGCGGCCCGGCCCGGCCCGGCCCGCGCGCGCGGGGGGGGGGCCCACGGATCAATTTTCGCACCGGGGCCCCACGGGTCATGTGTACGCCACTGACAATTGCACTTATTGATGGTTGTATTACACATAGATTACACCTAGATTTGTGACACATGTGCTTACTTTAAATTGTATATAATATTTTAGCAGGTTTTTATTCACTTCTTTATTAAAATATCCACAGAGAGTGGTTTGCTTATTATTGCGCACTGTCACTTTTTTACTGAAATTGAAATATGAAGGCTAGAAATTTAGAAATATATTTGTTTCGTAAAATTCTACAGTGACATTTTTATTTGCTTTTGAACAAATGCTTTAATAATATTTACTGTTAAAAACAGTAGGCCAAGCACTTTAAAAGAACATTTAAAAAAAACAGAAGTCAAATGGAAATATTGGTTTGGCATTTCAAACTTGTGTTTTGGAAATAGTAAACTTTTAATAGATAAGCATGAGTACAAGTATGGAAAACCATATAGAAAACCAAAAAAGAAAAAAAAATAGCCAAAACTGATTTTATGATATGGCCATTCATATGTAGGAATGCTAAGGCCCGTCATGGTGCCTGGAGTATATATGTGCAGAATTTCACTATTAAACAATGTACATATGGGGTTTAACCCCTCTGTTGCCAGAGATGTAACTCCACCTCCAGCATTGTCATTGGGGTGTGATCATCCAGGGCTGCCTAATGTCGCTTCTGCTTAACTTACAATACACACAATGTTATTAATTGGCTGACAGCGGTCAGCTCACTCTCTCAGCCACTTTCTTGATCGTTGCTCTGTTCAAGCATATCACTGGACCACCAGGCAGCATTAAAGCCTGGCAGGGTCCTAGGAAAGCGGGCAAGTCATTGCTAAACTACTGCTGACATCATAACTACTATAACAAGCTGCAGTGGGTATGATGATTAGAGTAACCCTTTTAAAGTTCCATGTATCTTTTTAAATACATTTTATATGAATTTTCATGA